GATCTGGGAATACTTATGGCCATTCATGCATATCAGTACAGATTAATTATTTCACAAACCATGTATACTACATTAAACAGAGATTTAAGGATTTTCAGAGGGTATTTTTTACCATTTAATTTTGTGGTGATTTTTGATTTTTGCCCCACCCATAACCCTTTTTAGGTTCAACTCTCTCTGGTGTGTTAAGGAGTTTTTAGGACTAGTACAAAACATGGAAGTGGCAGCACTTGCTAAGGGTTTGGCAGATAAGGAATCTACATGGGAGGCATTGGTCATTTTTTTTTTGAGTTGCTTTTCATTCAAGTTGAGAGTTGCCAGGCTGCGAAGAGGTAAAGGGAATTCAAGGTCAAAGGAGAATATGGTTTTATACTACAAAAGCCCTTTTGGGGGTTCACCTATGGTTGCTGACCAGGTTTGTTGTTTGAGGACAAGTTAAATCTCAATTTTCTTTGAGACAGAGTTCGCTTTGGTTGCCAGGGCTACGAGTGAGTGCCATGGCGGTCAGGCCTAGCTCACAGCAACCTCAAATCCCTTGGGCTCAAGCAAGACCTGCTAGGCCTCCCGAGTTAGGCTTTGGAGTAGAGGCATGCGCACCATGCCTTGGCGTAATTTTTTTTTCTATGTTATATTACGTTGGCCAATAATTTCTTTCTATTATAGGATTAATAGAAAGAAACCAACTCTTGCTTCAGGTGTGGTTTCAAATTTCCTGACCTCAAGCATTCCGGCCACTTTCGGTCCTTTTCCCAGAAGTCGCTAGGATTACAGGCGTTGAGCCACCTCGCCCGGCCTAAATCTTCAATTTTAACAGTGAATCTCAAGCTTGAACCTTCACAGGCAACACTTGTTTTAGTGTTTTTATTTTCATGTTGTCATTTATATGATGCCTTTGTTCTATTTTGGCAAGCGTTAACTAGTTTTTCATTTATAGTAGTGATTAAAAATTTACTTTGGGGCCGGGCAGCGGGTGGCTCCGCCTGTAACTCACCTGGGAGGCCGAAGTGGGTGATTGCTTGTAGGTCAGGAGTTCAAAACCACCTGAGCAAGAAGCGAGACCCGTCTCTACTATAAATGAAAGAAATTATATGGCATTAATATATAAAGAAAAAATTAGCCGGGCATGGGTGGGTGCATGACCTGTAGTCCCAGGCTTACTCGGGAGGCTGAGGCAGAGGATGCTTAGCCAGGAGTTGAGTTGCTGGTGAGCTAGGCTGACACCATGCACTCACTCTAGCCTGGACAACAAAGCGAGACTCTGTCTCAAAAAAAATAAAATAAAATTACTTCAAAAATGAATTTATTGATACAAAGTGAGCTGTTTAAAGAAAAATATTAAGTATATAATATGACAGTTGCAGGTAAGATGACATGACTTGTGGGCAGGGCAGGGCTTCTGACTGGGGAGCAGTAATAGGGCCAGATGGATGGGCAGATAGAATGAGGGTTTTCGTGTGCCCTGCTCAGAGATGTGGGCTTAAGGCCAGAGACAAACAAGATGATTCCACTGATCTTGAGTGATCCTTCAGGCTAACTTGCACAAGAACAAGGCCGTATCTCCTGAGGAAAAGTGAACAGGAGGGGGGCGCAGGTTCAGAAAGAGTTAGTTTGAGTAGGGGTGAGATGGATTTTGATTGATGGATACATGAGGGATGGTAAAGAAAGCTCTAACCCAAACATCATTTGATGGTCTAAGTACTCCACTTGCAGGGGCATTTAATCCTCATTCCAACCCTTTTATAGGTGAGGCAAACAGGGCTCTGAAAGTGACAGGCCCAAGGTCTCCCAGGGTGTGGAATCTGACATTGGAGTCATCTAGTAGCACAGCAGTGGTATCCTAACATGGCCATCTTAGCTCTGGCCAACCCCCATCTCCTAATAAGACCTGATACCCAGACATCAGGCTGGCCAGCCTCAACAGGACTCCTCACAGGACAGCAGTGTCACTATCTTTTCCTTTGTGAATCTTACTTGTGTCCTTCCAGCTCCATTTTCCTGCTGTCCTGGAGAGTGAGAGAGGAGGTACTCTATGATCCAAGAAGAAATTTTTCATTTTCATTGAGCTTCCCTCCTTTTGCAGAAAAAGAGAAGTCACAACATTAATTGAGCACCTACTGTGTGCCAGGTGCCATGCTAGGCATTTGATATTCATTGTCTCATTTGATCCTCACGACAGTTCTCAGTATTTCATAGACAAGAAAGAGGAAGTGGCAGATTCAAGATTTGAACCCCCTTGGTCTGACTCCAGAATATGTGCTATAACGAAGCTGGAAGGTTAGCAATCTTCTGGTTCTTGGATCCTCAGCAATGTGGGGAAGAGGCATTTGGGTCTGGGTGAAGGCTTCTTATACCCAATTGGTCCCTTTTGCCTATGGCCTGAAGCTATAATTATGAAGGAGAGAGGGATGGAAGGAATTTGCCTGACATGGTTGAAGGGTAGGCATCAGTAGAGGTTAGGTCCTGCCCAAGCCAGTTTCCCATCCTTTGCCTATGCTATCAGCCTTGACACACCCTCCTTCAGCACTCTGGGCATCCAGGAGAAGTACTTGGTCCCCTCGGACCAGTCAGTGGAGCAGGAAGCCATGCAGCTATAGCAGCAAGCTGAGCCCTGGAGAGCAGGATGCATAACCCAGCAGTGGGGAAAGTGGAGGCTCCCGGTGAGCAGTGGACAGCTCAGCAAGCTGCAGACCCAAGAGCAAGTCCAGCCAGAGCTGGGAGGCTGGCAAGGGGACACCCAGCTCTGCAAAGGACTTCTAGCCAAAAAACCGGACGTGGCACCAAGCAGAGCACCTACCACAGCCTCCATGGTGCTCATGAACTCTGGACCCTGCCACCAGGAAGTTGAGCACTGGTTCCACTCAGGCTGTGATGGAATGAGAGTTTATTTTCTACTTTTTAATGCCTTCCAAACTTTTCTTCAATCCTCCAGGCCCAGGGGATTGGGGCAGAACAAGGAAATGTCACCTTCCCTTGCAAGAGTCCTGTTTCTGCATACAGGTCAGTGCTTCTCCAAAGCACAGGATCCATCATATTCGGAGATTGACACTCTGTTTCCAATTGTGTGTTTTGTTAGTCTTGAGTTTTTGTTTTTGTTTTTTTATTTTTTTAGAGATGGTCTTGCTATGTTGCCCAGGCTGGATTTGAACTCCTGGGCTCAAATGAACCTCCTGCCTCAACCTCCCAAGTAGCCGGGACTGTAGGCATGCTGCTGCACCGAACAATCTTCAGTTTTAACAGTGAACCTCAAGCCCAAGCCTTCATAGGCAACACTTCTAGCTAGGCCTTATTAATGTTTTAGTTTATTTGTATTTATTTTATGATTTTGTTCTATTTTTGATAAGTATTAACTAGTTTTCCATTTACAATAGTAATTAAAAGTTTACTTCAAGAATGAAATTTATACAAAGTGAGTTGTTTAGGGAAATATATTAAGTATATAATATGACAATTGTTATGAGGTTGTGGCAAAAATTAAGATGGCTTAAAGTTTGGAAATACTGGTGTTTGGCTTACTTTGTTCTTGCAGCTGGTCAAATGCATTCATATTTTCAACCGGTAGGTGGCGTCTCAGACTTATTTTTTACAATTGTAACCTGGCAGCAGAAGGGGAGGGATTGATGGCCTGGGGAAGACTTGTGCCACAAGTCGTGTTTGCAGACATTCAGGCCTTTTAACACATGTGAAGGGCTTAGCATTTTGCAGAGTGCTTCCACACATATTCTCATTAGAGATAGACAAGATGGGGACTATTACTAAGCCATTAACTCATTTTACAGTGAGGAACCAGAAAGATGAGGAGTTGAACTATGGTCAGCCTGAGTCTGTCAATAGCCCACTTTGTTGAGTGAATTGTGAGTGTCCCTCCTTTGGTACACTTATTGGTGAAGAGTCACAGCCCTTATCCCACAGGATTTGTAGCCAATCAGGAGAAAGAATTTAGGCACCTGAAAAGTGTTATTACTGAATCATAAATCAAGGGAAAGATAGGTCACTGATGGTTTGCTCAGTTGGTGAATTCGGTTTAGGAAAATCTATTCTGAAACAGCATTGAAATAGTGGTGACCGAATTTTGCTTTCTGGTTTTGGCAGCCAGAGCTGAAGGCAGAAGAGTAAGGGGCTATGAGGAGGCTACTATGGCTGGAACAGTATGAAAGCAGCCGACCACAGCTCCCACGCCTGGCTGTATAGGGGATAATAACTGGGTGCTGCTTCCCAGCTTCTTTCATCTGAGGAGTTCAAAGCACCTCACCCCTATTAACACCCTGCACAGTAGGTGGGGAGTATCAACAGAGTGAGCCAGGGAAACTGAGGCCAAGAGGCACAGCTCAGGGCTGGCTGTGAGTCACCTGTGGCTCCTGGAGCCCAGGAGTTCTGACGCCCAGGCTGCTGGACAATTTCTTGAGGGCATAAGGGTAGGTGTTATGTTTTTGAAAGCAGTACTGATAGCTGTGGTCATGGGTTTTGATGGTTACCCATCACAAAAGGCCCAGTTCTCACTGAAACAAACCAGGTGTGGGGCTGGAAGGCGTCATTTAGAGCTTTATGGCCTCATATCCAAGCACCCTCAGCATTTACTCTCTATAGTCATGGAGTGGAGAGGGATGGAAGTAATCCAGAACTTTATTTTCTGGCCTTGATGTGACAGCATGGGTATTTTCTTCCCCAATAAATGTCGCTTCTGTCTACCTCCCACTGGTAGCAAAATAATTTTGTTCTGCATACACTGTGGTGATGGGGAGGGGATAGCACAATGTAGAAAGGGAGAGATGTCTGGGTTCCACATGTGGCCCATTCGGTATGAAATGTGTAGGATAGGAGAGACCATCCTCCAGTATGGCTGGCACATAGCAGTCATCCTTAAGATTATTTTTTTCTTTTCTGATAAAAATAGAAAAGTAGGCTGGGCATGGCGGCTCACACCTATAATCCCAGCATTTTGGGAGGCCAATGTTAGAGGATTGCTTGAGCTCAGGAGTTTGAGACCAGCTTGAACAACATAGCTAGACCCTGTCTCTACAAAAAATACAAAAATTAGCTGGGAGTGGTATCGTGTGCCCAGCTAGTTGGGAGGCTGAGGCAGGAGGATTACTTGAGGCCAGGAGTTTGAGGTTGCAGTGAGGTATGATGACACCACTGCATTTCAGCGTGGGAGACAGGAAAAAAACAATGAAAAATTTCGAAAAGAGAAAAGTCACCCAGAATCCCATAACAGAAATAATTATTAATATTTATAATCCATAAATTTTCTATTGAAATGTATAAATATATTTTGTGTATCTTTCAGTCTTATTTTTCTATACATGCATGGGGTAGAGATTATGTTTACGTAACTGGGATATTTTATAATTGTTTTATATCCTGCTTTGTTCAGTTAACACTATCCCATGTAATTAAAAATATATAAAAACCTTTGTGATGTCTACATAGTAATTAATATTCCAGGGTCTGGTTATAACATTGTTTACCTATCCATCTTCCCATGGTTAGTCTACAAGTCATTACCAATTTTTTGCTCTTGTAAATAGTGCTGTGATTAACATTTTTGTACCTAAATCTTCTTTTTTTTTTAGACAGAGTCTCGCTTTGTTGGCTGGGCTAGAGTGAGTGCCGTGGCATCAGCCTAGCTCAACAGCAACCTCAGACTCCTGGGCTCAGCTCAAGCAATCCTCCTGCCTCAGCCTCCCGAGTAGCTGGGACTACAGGCATGCACCACCATGCCCGGTAATTTTTTCTATATATATTAGTTGGCCAATTAATTTCTTTCTTATAGTAGAGACGGGGTCTCGCTCTTGCTCAGGCTGGTTTCGAACTCCTGCCCTTGAGCAATCCGCCTGCCTTGGCCTCCCAGAGAGCTAGGATTACAGGCGTGAGCCACCGCGCCCGCCCGGCCATGTACCTAAATCTTTGAGTCTCTGATTTTCAACTTATGATAAAGTCCTAGAAATAAAATAGCTGACTTTTCTAGGTTCTGGATTCAAATTGCTGAAATGTTTTCCCAAAAAGTGCCACTTTACATCTCACAGATAGTGTCTGAAATCGTTCTCACCTCCAGGCCTCACTTGACAATTGTAAACAACTTCTGGAGGGAGGAACCCCTCTGAGTGCCTCAGAAGGGACCTTTCTGGTCATCCCTGCTAACTAATCACTGATGTTTAGGATATAATGCATTTCTGGTTCTGAACTGGGGACTAACAATTGGAAGATAGTGTGGAATTGGAAGAACTTAACCAGGGACCATAGGTAAGTGGAAAGGCTTCCAGCCCGACAAAGTGGCTTACTAAGAGTGAGGGTGAGGCCTTAAAGCCCACAGAGTTGAAGCATACCCAATCTGCCTGATTAGCAAAAGCTCACCAGAGTTGGCCAAGCATAGGAAGTCTGATCGTTGTAGGATCTGTGGGAGGAGAAAAGGAAGGAGATTTGAGGGATTTTCTGTCCTTTCTCAAGGATCCTGAGAAGGGGGAGGGGTGGCTTCAGACCCACCCCAACACTACCAAGGCCCATGCCAATTTTGAAAGCAGTGAGGCAGCTCAACCCAGAATTCTAGAGGGAAAATCTTAAGCAAGCAGTAGCTGCCTTCTCTCCCTTCTCTTTTCTCTCTCTTGTCCCTGGCTATTGAGCCCTTATGCAGCCTGGTCTGGGCTGCTCATTGCCTCTTCCCGTCCCATTTATTTTTTATTTTTTTTGAGACAGAGTCTCACTTTGAGACTCTGGTGACATATCTGCCAGGCTAGAGTGAGTGCTGTGGCGTCAGCCTAGCTCACAGCAACCTCAAACTCCTGAGCTCAAGTGATCCTACTGCCTCAGCCTCCTGAGTAGCTGGGACTACAGGCATGCACCACCATGCCCAGCTAATTTTTTTTTATATATATTTTAGTTGGTCAGTTAATTCTTTATATTTTTGGTAGAGGACAGGGTCTCGCTCAGGCTGGTTTTGAATTCCTGACCTGAGCAATCCGCCCCGCCCTCGGCTCCCAGAGTGTAGCGATTATAGGCATCAGCACTGCCCCTGCCCTTTGTTCCCATTTAGAAGGAAGAGTCCCAGATTAGCACATTCTTCCCTGGTGTCAGGCCTGCCAAGGATAGGGGAAGCCATGTGCCTGCCATGAACCTATTGTATCTGCTTTTTCCAGCCCCAGAAGCCCAGGTGTCCAGGTGGGCTAAGATTGAGGGTTGTGAGGGGATGGGCTGTGGGTTTGGGGTCCAACTGAGGTGAAGAAAGATGAGTACTGGCAGAATGCTCTGGATGAGAATACATAGCAAGAATTTATTTTTTTTCTCCTTGTTCCAAAATCTTGTAGCAGTTGTGGAGGAGGGAGATGAGAAGCCCTGTCAGAGAGCCATGCCACATGAACATAATATCTATAGCAGTGTGCTTGCTGCATAAATTCAGCTAAAAAAGTCCCACACTGCTTTCCTTTGCACTAGACTCACCTTTAAGTTCTTCCTATATGTTAATCCTGGATCCTCCACATTGCTTTGTGGAGTCACAAAAACATCAAAGAAGGGAAATTGGGACATAGGTTAAAATTTCCCCTAACTCATAACTCATATCAGAGGTCATGTAATCTTTTTTGAACCAAAAATCAGTCCCCTGTATAGTCAGACAAGGAAATTTCAGATTAGCTTTACTGTGGAGGAAGAAAGGAAGAAAATGTCTTCCCTCCCTCCCTCCTTCCCTTCTTTCAACAACTATTTACTGAATACCATAATCTGATATATTAAGTGTTGTACATAGCCACACATTTTATTAAAAATAAAATAGCTGACTTTTCTAGGTTCTGGATTCAAATTGCTGAAATGTTTTCCCAAAAAGTGCCACTTTACATCTCACTGATAGTGTCTGAAATCGTTCTCACCTCCAGGCCTCACTTGACAATTGTAAACAACTTCTGGAGGGAGGAACCCCTCTGAGTGCCTCAGAAGGGACCTTTCTGGTCATCCCTGCTAACTAATCACTGATGTTAGGATATATGCATTTCTTGGTTCTGAACTGGGGACTAACAATTGGAAGATAGTGTGGAATTGGAAGAACTTAACCAGGGACCATAGGTAAGTGGAAAGGCTTCCAGCCCGACAAAGTGGCTTACTAAGAGTGAGGGTGAGGCCTTAAAGCCCACAGAGTTGAAGCATACCCAATCTGCCTGGATTAGCAAAATGCTCACCCAGAGTTGGCCAAGCATAGGAAGTCTGATCCTGTTAGGATCTGTGGGAAGGAGAAAGGGAAGGTAGATTTGAGGGATTTTCTGTCCTTTCTCAAGGATCCTGAGAAGGGGAGGGGGTGGCTTTAGACCCACCCCAACACTACCAAGGCCCATGCCAATTTTGAAAGCAGTGAGGCAGCTCAACCCAGAATCCTAGAGGGAAAATCTTAAGCAAGCAGTAGCTGCCCTTCTCTCCCTTCTCTTTTCTTCTCTCTTGTCCCTGGCTATTGAGCCCTTATGCAGCCTGGTCTGGGCTGCTCATTGCCTCTTCCTGTCCCATTTATTTTTTATTTTTTTTGAGACAGAGTCTCACTTTGAGACTCTGGTGACATATCTGCCAGGCTAGAGTGAGTGCTGTGGTGTCAGCCTAGCTCATAACAACCTCAAACTCTTGGGCTTAAGCAATCCTACTGCCTCAGCTTCCTGAGTAGCTGGGACTAGAGGCATGCGCCACCATGCCCGGCTAATTTTTTCTATATATATTTACTGCAGTCTTTTTCCCATTTGAAACAAACATTCCTTTCTCCCAGGTGGGGCCAGGGTGGAGTTGGGTTGAATGTAGGGTAAGAAGGCTTGATTCTTAGAAAGTCCAAGATAGGAGCAGGGCAACACAGCATAATGGTTCTTTTCAAAATTATTTTTAACTCATGAAACTCCAATATACAAAACAGACATATGTGTGGCTATTTTCACTAGTGTGTAGAAACGGGAAACCCTGACCACTGGGCTCCTGCCTCATGGCAGCTTCTGGGGAACCTTCTGAACTCAGTTTGAAAATAGCTATTGTAGTTTAAAAATCATGGGTCTTAGAGTTGGACCCCATTCCACTCCCCAGCACATAATAGTTGTATAACCTTGGTTATTAGGTTATTTACCAGCTCTGAGCCTCAGTCTCTTCATTTGTAAAACAAGGGTAAAAATAAGTATTGCTGTGAGGATTAAGGCATGAAGCTGCCTAGCATACAGTTAGTTGTCCAGCCAGCTGCTGTTACTACTGTACTTTGTTCTCTACAAAGAAGCAGGAGTGGGGCACTTGATCAGAAGAGTAATCTTGGTGAAAGCCTCTGAAATTAGGAAGTTTTTCTGAAAAGGCACTGGACATTTGGACATTGGATGTGTGTGGTGGCGGCAAGGAGGAAGAAGCAACCACAGCCTGCCTGACCCCAATGCCTCCCCCCACCCCAGGGCGCCTGAAAAGAAAGTCTCAGCCTCCATCACTCACTCCTGTGCATCTACAGAGCCAATTTGGACTTTGCCTTCTAAAGTAACTATACATAAGAGAAGAGTAGATACTTTTTCTAGAGAATTTTAGAGATTTTCCCCATACTGCTTACATTTTGAGGAGGAGAAGATCTTTGCAAGCCCTGGGCCTCCTTTCCTGAGGGATAATCTGACAATATAGAAAGGATAGGGCTGGGGTTGCTCGAATTGGTGTGTGCCCATCTCTGTCTAGACAGCCCTTCCTTATCCCAGGACCAGCTGTATTTCCATTTCCATAAGAGGATCTGGCACTAAACCTGGTTTCCAGGCATTTGGAAGGATGGTTTTAAACCTAAGATCTGAGCACATTGTGGTAAGGGAAAAAAAAAAAAAAACTTGCTGGAGTCACAGTGGGAAGAAAGGAATAATGGGGTGCAGTTACCATTCTTAGGGAGCTCTCTGAAGGGATAAGGAACAAACCCAGGCCAGGCATGGTGGCTCACGCCTGTAATCCTAGCACTCTGGGAGGCTGAGGCAGGAGGATTGCTTGAACCCAGGAGTTTGGGGTTGCTGTGAGCTAGGCTGATGCCACGACACTCTAGCCCAGGCAACATTGTGAGACTCTGCCTAAAAAGAAAGAAGAGGCCGGGCATGGTGGCTCACGCTTGTAATCCTAACTCTCTGGGAGGCCGATCGTTTGAGCTCAGGAATTCGAAACCACCCTGAGCAAAAGCGAGACCCCGTCTCTACTATAAATAGAAAGAAATTAATTGGCCAACTAATATATATAGAAAAAATTAGCCGGGCATGGTGGCACATGCCTCTAGTCCCAGCTACTCGGGAGGCTGAGGCAGAAGGATTGCTTGAGCCCAGGATTTTGAGGTTGCTGTGAGCTAGGCTGACACCACGGCACTCACTCTAGCCTGGGCAACAAAGTGAGACTCTGTCTCAAAAAAAAAAAAAAAGAAAATGAAGTAGAGGGTACAATGGGAAAGGGAGAATGGTCACCAAGAAATTTCCAATGAAACTTGGCATTCTTAACTGCTTTGCCTTCTGAGACATATTTTTAAATGGAGCTAAAATTCATCCTTCTAAAGTGTACAATTCAGTGGTTTTTAGTATGCTGACAAAGTTCTACAGCTATCACTATTTAAATCCAGAACATTTCATTGCCCCAGAAGAAACTCTGTACCAATTAGCAGTGGGACTGAAATTTTTTGAATGTCAACTCTAGGCCAGGAAAAATGGCAAAAGTCCATACCCCTGTGGTCAGAAGCTGGTGCCTAATATGTACAACTATCGTGTACTAATAAAAATAAAAAATACAAAGAAGCTGGTGCCTAAGCCAGCTCACATGTAGCCCTGGTAAGCATCTGATTTAGTGATCTTCAATCCACAGCATCTGCTTTAAAAATCCTTCAGCTCCAACACACTACCTAGGGTAGCTCATTTCTTCTCATATGGGGCAACCATGAGTGTCCAGAGCCAACAGACAAAAGTTAAAGGCTGAGAGAAAAGAAGAAAAGTTCCTTTCCCAGGACCTACCCCACTAAGAGAAAGTCACCAGACCTGTCAGGTAAGAGAAACCAGGTCACCTCCAGAGCTGACAGGAGTCACTTGGCCTAGCCTAGAGTCTCTCTGGTTTGGATCCCTGAAACCTGACACACCTCCAGGAAAGGAGGGGAGAGAACAGGGGACCCAGAAAGCATGAGTGGCCCTGCCAACTTCCCCTGTAGAATTAGAAGCTCTGAAAAGAGCCCTTCAGTTTAGAGTCCCATGGGTGTGGCCAAACTTAGACTCTGGGGACCCTGAGGGGGCTGGACTGAGTTCCTTCAACCTTGCCAGGTGGAGGAGTAACCACCGGAGTGAGCCAGCATTCTCAGGTGGCCCAGCACCCTGCAGGTCAGCCGAGGCAGTGAGGCTGCTCCTCAGGACCGGGCCTGGCTCATCAATCTGCTTTGGGCATAGAAATGCTGGCGAAATCCTAGACTTACTGATGCTGGAAGGAATAATTAATAGCTGACATTTGCTGAGCGGTACTATGGGCTACTTTACAAGCATTTCTTTTCTCAAACTCCACAGCTACTTTAGGAAGAAGCCTTTTTAATCCTCTTCTTTACAAATGAGGACACAAAGGTAACAGGGTTGAGAGGCTTGGCCAAGGCAGGCTGGGAGTCAAACCCAGGCAGTTTGAATCCAAAACCCCAAATGTTCACTCTTACGGTAGAGCCTTTAGTCCAAGCCCCTTATACAAAAGGGAAACTGAGGCCCAGGGAGGTATAATGGCTTTTCCAAGGTCGCATAGCTGGTCAGGGACACGATCCAAGCCTCTTGGTGTGCAGCTCAGGGCTGCCTGGACTCTGGAGAGTGGTGGGGGCATCTTGATGGCCTTTTCCCAGCCCACCCCCGCCGCCTGGCCTCCCTGGGCTCAGCCAGGTGAGAGGATGATGACTCAGACGCCCAGAGGCCGGGGACTGCATTTTGCCAACGGCCCCTCCCTGTCCTGCTGCTCTGAGGGAGTCGAGCTCTTGGGCCGGGCTGGTGGCAACTTGTCTGAGTGAAACCGGGAAAGGCCGCCACTCAGCGCTCAGCGGGTGGTGGGAGCCCTCAGTCAGTCAGCTAATCGCCGCGGCTGCCGGGCCTGACTGAAGGCGGGAAGACTTGCTGCGCGCGTTCCGCCGCTCACTGCCCCATTGGCCAGCCGTGCCCCGAGGGCGGTACCCTTGGCGGTCAATCCCCTCCCGTGATTGGGCGGGATCGGCCTCAGGCTCCGCCTTCAGTCCTGGGCGGTAAAGGCGGGACCGAGTCGGGCGGCCGCAGGTCCGGGCGTGTTGCTGGCGGCTACGAGCGGAGGTGGCAGGCTCGGCGGCCAGACTCCCCGCGGCCCTTTTCACCCAGCTTGCTTCTCTTCCGTCAGCCTGTTTCGTTTTGCCTGTATCTCCGAACTCTGGGGAACGTTCCCCTCTCCTCAGATCTGGGCTTTTAATGGCGCCATACCCTTCCCTCAGATCATACTCGCCTCCGCTGGGGTCTGAGCGCTTGATAAGACTGTACCCGCTTTAAATTCTGGGGTGCTCAGTGCAGCTTACTACAGCGCGTCCCTGCGGCGCTGCCCTCAGCCTCTCTCCTGAGATTTCATTGGTGTCCTGCCCCACCCCATTGAGCTCTTCAGCCTTCCACACCGCGTCCCCACTCACCTCTCCTCAGCCGCCTTTGCGTTCTCCTGAGCCTCCCGGGACTGGCCCAGTTTCATTGGGGCCGCCCTGATGGAGAGAGGGCTGGACCCGGCCTCTCACCTGGAGTCAGCGGCCCGAAGTCTTGCCTGCAGATTACTGAGCTTGCCCCAGGGGAGGAGATCAGGGCCCTAACTAAGAGGTCCAAAGTCAGGATCTCTAAACCATATTCCAATCCCGCTCCCAGCCCATCGCCAATAACTGGAAAAGACAGGAGGAGTGTCACAGAGGAACTTTATTGAGAGAAAACATGGTCACATCCAGCAGACATGCTTTCCCTCCGTTGGTCTCGGTCCTGCTTTCACTCTCACACACAGTCACACACACACACCCATGTCCAGCCTCTGCCACATGGTCCAGTTCTCAGCCACCAGGGTGGGACACTCCTCAATTCCTAAGATCCAGAGGCTGCAGGGACAGGAGGGAGGAAAGGAGGGGGAAGAAGTGGGGTTGGGAGGAAGGGGATGCGGAGAGCAGGGTTGGGTGGGATGATCAGGGTTAGGAGCACTCAACAGCTGCATGAAGAGTGGAACCCCGGCCCCAGGTGGCCTCAGCTCTGCCCCTCTCCATGGGGCCCTTCTGAGCTGGGGCAGAGCCTTGGGGAGAAGGGTGGGGCCTCCCACCCCACACTAGTCCTCTCCGCGAGGTGGGGACTGGAGCAGGCAGGGCAGGGTAGGGTAGGTGGTGGCCCGGCTCAGCTCTGGGGCTCCTCAGGAACCTCGACCCCCTCTTCCCCGGCGTTGTCGGCTGTCCACAGTGTCAGGTTGTCTCGCAGCAGCTGCATGATGAGGGTGCTGTCTTTGTAGGAGTCCTCGCTGAGGGTGTGCAGGTCAGCCATGGCCTCGTCGAAAGTGGTCTTGGCCAGCGAGATGGCCTCCTCGGGGCTATTGGCAATCTCATAGTGGAAGACAGAAAAGTTCAGGGCCAGGCCCAGGCGGATGGGGTTGGTGGGTGGCATCTCCTTCTTGCTAATGTCCATGGCCTCCTGGTAGGCTGCGCGGGCTGAGTCGATGATGCGCTTCTTGTCGTCCCCGGTGGCCACCTCTGCCAGGTAGCGGTAGTAGTCGCCCTTCATCTTTAGGTAGAAGACCCGGCTCTCGGCATCCCCGGATTCCTTGATGAGGTGGCTATCCAGCAGGCCCAGCACAGTGTCGCATACACCTCGGAGCTCAGTCTCCACCTTCTCACGGTACTCTCGCACCTCAGGGCCCTTGTCTTCGGAGCCCTCCTCGTTGCTCTTCTGCTCAATGCTGGACAGGACCCTCCAGCCAGCCCTCAGGCCGCCCACCACATTCTTGTAGGCCACTGAGAGCAGGTTTCGCTCTTCACAGGAGAGCTCCTCACCCTTTTCCACAGCGCCCTTCATGAAGGCTGCCATGTCCTCATAGCGTTCGGCCTGCTCTGCCAACTTGGCCTTCTGGATCAGACTGGCTCTCTCCATGGCTCTGGGGACAGACAGCTGGGCGGCGGGCTAACTGGCTGCCTTGGGACCAATGCCGGACTCTGTGCCTCTCCTGCTCTCGGCCTGCCTTTTGGCTGGGTGGCCTGGCCCAGGGAAGGGTAGGGAGGGGCAGGGGGCGGGACTGGGGCCCAGGACCTGCCTCCCTCTCCTCTTCTCCCCACACCCTTTCCGGCTCTTCCATAAAGGTAAAAGGGCTGGGATATGGGGGTGAGTCAGCAGGACAGTCAGCAGGAGAAATCTGGGTGTGGGCCCCACCTGCACAGGCACCTTTCAGGGCTCCAGGCTGCCCCCTCTTGTTCAGGGCTGTCACCACATGGCTGCCTACAGTAGGAAGCTGCCCTGGTTCCTCAAAGCAGATCCTCCTTCACAGTGTCCTTCCAGGCTATGACATGAGGATGGCTTTAGCCTAAGCAGAGCCCATAAATGTGCAGGAGGATGGGGTTCCTAATCCAGCCAGGTGTGTTCTCCACTTGGTTGAGGTGAGATAATTCATGTTTAGGCAGGGCTGTAGTTTTCCAAGCACTTTCATATTCATGATCTAATTTAATCCCCATTATCTCCCCGTGAGGAACACAGGACTATAGAGATGGGAACACTTAAGTCTCAGAGAGGGGTGAGATTTGCTGCAAGTCACATAGTTCCCAAATCCCTCAAACTTTTCCTTCTGTACCCGACTTCCTTTGGGTCTCCTCCCACTGAGGCCTCTGACCTATGAGCTCCAGGCTTTATTTGGAAGTGAGATCCAGGCTTCTTCCTGAGTCTACCTGAAGATGGTAGTACCTTAGTCCTCACTCCCTCTGAGTCTTCACTCCCCCTCAGAGTCACCTCTGAGCTCCCAGAATGCACAGGTGGCAGCTTTTAGGGTGCCACTTCATGAAGCGTTTAACAAGCAGCCTTTGACGCTGTAGCCCAGCCTTTATAATTAGTCACCCAGTAGGTTTATTAGACACACTTCCCATTGCTGCACAATTTTCCCTTTCAAGTTGGTGGCCTGTTGCCACTTGTTTGAGGACTTATGCTCTGGCTCTCTATGCTAGGTCACCTGCCCCTCCAAGCCACCTGCTATCCTATATCAGTGGGGCTCACGGAGGGTAGGGGCCTTCCTACCTGTCCCACTTTCCTGCCTGACTCAGCCTGCCCTCTGTCTGAGGCTGGGAAGCAGGCCACCTGGGTGCTTAGTCCAGTTTGGTCCCCCAGGGGGGACGCTAGCAACCTGGGGAGAGACAAGGGCTGAGAAAATGTGGTGGCAGTGACACATACCATTTTGTTTTATGGGGCAGTGAGCCCAGCTGAGTGATGCCTCCCCCAGCCTGGCTCTCAGAAGTTTCCCTGTCGCTTCCCTTTGACCACGGCTCCACCTCTGACCACTGGCAGAGGCCTCAGAGAGGAGATCTCTCTGTTGCCAACCTTCTGTCCCTGCTTGCTGGGGCCCTCTCCTCAAGTTTCATCAAGAGTTTCACCTAAGGGTGCTGGCACTAAACCTGTAAGGGTGGGTTCCTGCTATCTGCCCCACCCTTAGCCCAAGCTTAGATGGGGCTTGGGGTGGGGCTCCCTTTGCTGGGATTCAGCGAACCTAATCCTTGAGCCAGGATCATGTCACAGGCCTGTGTCTCCCCCCACCCCAGTTCCTCTGAATGTCTAAACACTCAGCTTGGCCTTCTAGTGGGAGGCTTGGGCTGGAATTCTAAGGACCAAAGACAAGATCCTCCCCTTTGTCACAAGGAAGAGTAGCGACATGTTTGGGCTAATGCTACAGGGTTTCTAAGGAAGCAGAAGGGATTTTGAGCTTGATATCCCAAAGGCTTTGTTCAAATAGGAGCACTAACACAGAAAACGATGGAAAGGAACTACATACACTAAAATACTAACTCACAGAATGTACCTTTAGGTAGTGAGACTCCAAGTGATTTTTGCTTCCTTTTAATTTTCCTATTCTCTCCAAGTTATGAATGGGGAATATGCATTATTTTCCTAAGAGACAGAATAGCCTCGTATCTTTGGAATCAGACTGCCTGAGTTTAATTCTTTTTTTTTTTTTTTTTTTTAGACAGAGTCTTGCTTTGTTGCCCAGGCTAGAGTGAGTGCCGTGGCATCAGCCTAGCTCAGAGCAACCTCAAACTCCTGGGCTCAAGCGATCCTCCTGCCTCAGCCTCCCGAGTAGCTGGGACTACAGGCATGCGCCACCATGCCCGGCTAATTTTTTCTATATATATTAGTTGGCCAATTAATTTCTTTCTATTTATAGTAGAGATGGGGTCTCGCTCTTGCTCAGAGCTGGTTTCGAACTCCTGACCTTGAGCAATCCGCCCGTCTCAGCCTCCCAGAGAGCTAGGATTACAGGCGTGAGCCACCGCGCCCGGCCTGAGTTTAATTCTTACCAGCTGTTGTGGCCTTGGCCAAATGGTTACTCTGAGTCTCATTTCCTGTAACTGTAAAATGAGGCGTGTTGTGAGGATTAAATGAACTAATGGAAAGCATGGGAGAGTAGATGATAACTATTGTTATGTGAAAAATCCCATGAACTTTATAACATATACACACACACAGCACTAACACGGAGCTGGGCTCTGGGAAATGAAGAAGGGCTCCAAGCCAGGCCTTAGCTGTAGACCAGACCATACCCAGCCTGGTGTCCATGGGGGATAGAAAGGGGTACAGTTTGCCCACAGCCTTCCCTCTCCAGATGGATGACTGGCTGGATGTGCTCAGCACTGCCCCCTTCCTCACCACCTAGGACATTCCTCTGGCCTTAGCAGGCCCTGGGCCCTCAAGGGCCTACCTTGACACTAGTCATCCATCCTGGGCTTCTCCAAGTCCTGGGGGAAATCTGGAGATCCCAAGACACTGAGAAGCTGTAAGGCAGAGCCTGGCAGGCCCAGAAACTTTGGAGCTTCTCCTGAATCTAGGGAGGCAGCGTTCTTTTCCTGCTGTTTAAGCCAGGGGACGTTTGTAGTGGTTCACATCATGAGCTCCACACCCTCAGCACAGCCCCAAGCAAGGGCAAGGAAGCCCCTTCACTCTGGCTCCTCCCCAGCTGAAGCTCAGGGGTGTATATGGCAGCCAGGATGCCTGACACCTTCTGCCCACTCTGGCCTGTTGGTCCTGACTCAGTTCCTGTCTCAGGTACCTCCCTTTGCCTCCAGGCCTCCATTTCCCAAGTCCAAGAGCCCAGGCGGGCAGGAAGCAGCAGGCCCTGGCAGGGCGCAGAGCTCCACAGTCAGCTGCCTGAGTCAGCAGGACAAGACCTGGGGCTGTAGCCCAAAGGGGCTCTCCTAATTCTGTTAGCCAACCCCCCAGCTTGGTAGAGCATCCATCCTACCTGCAGGCTCAAGGCCTCTGAGCCATAGTCAACCAATCCTTAGCTGGTAATAATAGGCTTTGAAGGGCTGTGACACAGAGAAGGCAGCAACCAGTTGCTTATCTACCTCCACTGAGAACAGAGGAAAGGGCGCTGATAGCAGCAGGAGGGACTCTGGTTAGATTGCAGAAAGAACCTCCTAAGAAACTTTTCAGTCATGGAATGATCAAATTAAACAGGTGACTAGAAGAGGCTCAGGCACCTTCTCCCCCAGGTTAGTTATGAACAGGAGTCCAGTCACCTAGCTAAAGACTCACTCTACTATTAAACAGTTGTCTTTGGGAAGGGATATTAGATTATTTTTAAGTGATTCAGCTGCTTTGAGTCCTTTTCTCCTGAAGACACTGCTGTTTAGAGTATCCCACCTCTCCCAAACCAGTCCAGTCTAGGAGACAGTGTGGAATGTATGAAAAGAGAATGGAATGAGGTCAGGGTGTGGGACTGCATCCCAGTTCTGTTATAAGGCCTTGGGCAGGTCCCTTCCTGCCTCTGGGCTTCAATTTCCCCATCAGTAAAACGAGCATGCTGGCCCAGATAAACTCTAAGCCCTCTACTAGCTATGACATTCTCTAATTTTAGGGTCCCTAAGAACCCATCCTCCCACAGCTGTATTCATTCCTCGGGTAGTGGGTCAGAGGTTGGGGCAGAAATCAGGTCCTAATCCTGGATTTGCTGCTTTACCAGTGGGGTGACCTTGGGCAGCTCTTGTACCTTCCCTGAGCCTCAGTTCCCGTATTTGTGAAAAGGCTGACATCACTTTCCTCATCACTTTCCTCACAGATGAGAAAATGGACCTGGCATTTGGCAAGCCCTTGCTTAATGTTAACGGTAATTATTCTTTAGCACATAGGACAGTGTGTGGGCCTGTGTGTGTCTCAATGTGGGGTGGCAGCTGGGGACACAGAAGGTTCTGTGGGATTGTTACCCTGGGCTGGGCTTGGTTCAATGGTGTGACAGTCCCAGACTGGCATTAAACCTTCTGTCTCAGCCTGGACTAGGACCTCTGAAAGGTTCAGAGGTCAGCTAAGGCTTGGAGGTCTCTGGAATTGAGACCAGGAGTTCTGGAGGGGCAGAGAGAAAAGGACACAAGCCACTCTTCCCATGTCCCTTCTGGCCTCACTGTGCCTCCTTTAACTCTCCGCTGCAGCACTGACCAGCTGGAACAGAGCAGAAGTGAGGGTAAGATGTTCTGAAGACCCACTGCAGGCCCCACCTCCAGGCCCCAAAGTAAAGGTGGCACCAGACAGCCAAGGGTATGGCAAGAAAAGGGGAATCTTTATTTTGGTTAAAAAAGGTACAAGATAGCAGACAAGCAGCCCCCAGCCCTGGGCTCAGCGGATTTGCCTTGGCCCGGCCCATTTCCTTTAGTTCCCCTGAAGAACTCGGGGCCTTGCAGCTAGCTCAGTCCCTCCGTGCCCGAAGCACAGGATACAAGCACCCTTCTCACATCCTATCTGCTCCAGGTTGGGGGTGGGGTGGATGGCCGTGGGAACAGTGTCAAGCCAGTTGTGCTTAGAACAGTCACCAAACTTGTTCAGCAGCGTCATCCACCATCAACGCCCCAGACGGTTCCTGAAGAAACCTGCTCAGCTCGACTATGGCTATGCCTGTTTTTTTTCTTTTTTTTTTGCAGGGGGGCAGGCTGTGGGGCAAGATTCCTAAAGAGTCTTGACACCTCACAAATCTGGGGAAGGAGAAGGAAGTTGTGGGGGGCGTTTCAGCATAGTATGACATTATTTGCCCATGGCTGTACTATGGCTTTCTACACTCTGGCCAGCATGGAGGGGGTAAGGGTAGAGGCCAGCCCCTTGGGGGGCCCTAGGAGCACACATGTAGGGCAGGCTGGGGGGAAGACCCTGTAGGCACAGATGGTGGCAGACGGGCCACAAGTTAGGCAGGTGGAGGTGCCGGGTGGCTGGCTCCCCCCAGGCCACTCCTGGAGAGGCAGAGAGCAGCGGTCCTCAGGAGGTCCTTAAGCCCCTGCACACACTGGAGATCCCAGGCAGGACAGCGGAGGAGGAGAAGAGAGAGGGTTAGCGGGATTGAGAGGCAAGAGAGAGAGCCTGAAGGGGCCCTGGTGGTGGGGACAGGTGCTGCCACAGCATGTGCCTCTCCCACAGAGAAGGGCCAAAGGCTCAGCAGCAGGCAATGAAGCAGGAGAGAAAACGGGCAGGTGAGAAAAAGCTCAGCAGGGACAGAAAGCCGGGATGCAAGAGTGTTAGTGCCCAAGGGCCCCTGCACACCACCAGGACAGGCCCGAGTGCCTCGGAGTGGGTACACCATCCTCTCCCCAGCCTCACCCTTTATCTCCTTTTCCAGTTGGAGAACTGCTTGGTGCAAAGCTACCTCCTCAGTCCAGATGAGGATGGGCTCTTGGCCCTGTCCCACACCCCAATCCTTCTGCTTAGAGGGGAGTCCTGGGGACCCTACCACCGCTAGCACACACACCACAGCACACACCAGGTGGATGGATGGGCTCTGTGGGGCTGCGAGGCATGCGATGAGGATGAGATGGTGTGTGAGGGCAGCGGGCAGTGCTAGCCAACAGGGGAGATATGGTCTTACCAGCTAACCCTCTGCAAAGAGGCCTGTTAGCTCCCCTCAGGCTGTGCAGGAGATGGCAAAATCCTGACAGGTGTCCTCCTGGGGGAGATACCAGAGAAGTGGGCCAGTATTATGAGCTGCCTGGCCCAGCTCTGCTGCCCAGGCAGAAGGTGGTGGCCAGGAGGGCTTCGGCTCTCAAACTCGAATCTACTGTCTCAAACATTTTCTTAGCTGAGCAGTCACTAGGAATCAGAGTGGAAAAGGCAGAAGAACTTAGGAGTCTCCCAGCCCCTGAGGCAGGGGGTGGAGGGAACAAGACAGTATGGTCTCTTCCCACGTGCCCATGGGGGCTCAGTCACAGCCCCCCCTGCTCTGCCTCCAGCAGACAGAGCTCCAGCCAGGAGAGGGGAGCTTTAGCCAGATCACTGGGCTGCCTGCCTTCTCTGTATCCCCAGGGAAGACCCAAGTTTGTCTGAAAGAACAGAGGACTGCCAGCCGGGGCCTCAGCAAAGGAAAAGCAAACAAAAACCAAACCAAAGCAAATCAACTCTTAAAAACAAAAGTTTTATTACAAGCAGGAACAAAGAATACTGGCTTAAATAAAATGCAGGTTGGAGCCCCCTCGTCTAGATGGCTTCCTTCCCACCTCTCATGGCCACTGCAGCGATGGCCCAGGGCCCTAAGGCTGGGGCAAAGCTGTTTCTCCCAGAGGGGACCTTCTGTGGCTGCCATTCCCAGCTCCATCTGTGACCACTAGCCTTTGGAGCGAAGAAGGGCAAGATCCAGGGACTTCCTATGTCATTTTCCAAGGGCTTCAACCCAGTTAAAGGGCCAAGGAGGGGATAGAGGGACAATTCTCTATCTATTTTGATGAGAAACTATAGCTCCCAGCAGAGGAGGGGCATCCTCTGAGTATCTGGCCCATACTGAGGCCAACTTTCACTTGCCCCTGCTTTTTCCTCCTCTTCTCTGAATGGAGGCTCCCATTTGGCAGAAACACCTTATCCTCAGTCTCTGGCACTGGGTCCTCTAGTCAGAGCTCAGAGAAGGGGGTGTGGCTTGTAGGATGGCAGCCACTCCCCACAGCCATCACCCTACCCACCATGCCCAGCCTCAGCCTGTCTGGGCAGGTCCCAGCTGGAAGCCTAAC